ATTTGTCCTGATCAAAATGGAAATGACAATTTGCTATAATTATTATTAGGAATATTTTCATCAAAATTTCCACCTTCTCTCCAGCTAATCAAATTCCATCTATGCTTCAAGAATCACTCCAAATCCCATTCCTTGATGCCTTCTCAGATGACTCTAGCTCAGGGGCTCTCAAACTTATCTGTCCATTAGAATCACTTGTGAGCTTTAAAAAATACTGATGCCTGTGTCCCAACCCAATAAACTGTGATTTAATTGGTATGAGATGTTGCTTCAGACTTTTTAAAAGATCCCTAAATGACCCTAATGTGCAATGAAGTCTGAGAAACACTGCCCTTTTTTTTTTTTGACACAGAGTCTCGCTCTGTCACCCAGGCTGGAGTGCAGTGGCACGATCTCAGCTCACCGCAAGCTCCGCCTCCTGGGTTCACACCATTCCCCTGCCTCAGCCTCCCAAGCAGCTGGGACCAAGATATAAGTCACTGGGACCGGGCATAAGCCACCATACCTGGCTGAGTGACTCAAATTTTTTGCTTCTTTATACATGCCCATGAGTGACTGAAAATGCCATATGTGTTGATTTTTAGCTTACAAATAAATTTTAGAAAGTAGGTAAATTCACAAGTATAGAATCCATGAATAGTACAGATACACTGTATATCCAACTCCTGTTCCTATGCCTGACACACAGTAAATGCTCAATAAATATTTGTCCAATGAAAAGCAGAACCAGGCTGGGCATGGGCTCACACCTATAACCCCAGCACTTTAGGAGGCCAAGGTGGGAGGACTGCTTGAGCCCAGGGGTTCCAGATCAGCCTGGGCAACATGGTGAAACCCTGTGTCTACAAAAAATACAAAACTTGGCCAGATGTGGTGGTGCATGCCTGTTGTCCTAGTTGCTTTTGAGGCTGGGGTGGGAAGGTAGCTTGAGCTGGGGAGGTCAAGGCTGCAGTGAACTGTGATTGTGCCACTGCACTTGGCTTGGGTGACAAAGTGAGACTGTTTCAAAATAATAACAATAATAATAATGATCTTTATCTTAGCTGGCATGGTGGTTCATACGTGTAGTCCCAGCTGCTTGGGAGGCTGAGGTGGTAGGATTGTTCGAACTCAGGAGTTGAAGGATGCAATGAGTTATAACTACTCTGCTGCATTCAAACCTGGACAACAGACCAAGACTCTATCTCTAAAATAAATAAATAAACAAATAGGCCAGGCATGGTGGCTCACGCCTGTAATCCCAGCATTTTGGGAGGCTGACATGGGTGGATCCCTTGAGATCAGGAGTTCAAGACCACCCTGGCCAATGTGGTGAAACCCCGTCTCTCCTAAAAATACAAAACTTGGCCGGGCGTGGTGGTGCACACCAGTAGTCCCAGGTACTCTGAAGGCTGAGGCAGAAGAATCACTTGAACCTGGGAGGTGGAGATTGCAGTGAGCCGAGATTGCGCCACTGTACTCCAGCCTGGGCAACAGAGTGAGACTCTGTCTCAAAGAAACAAAAACAAAAACAAAACATTTTTATATTTTAGAGATATACACTGAAATATTTAAAAATGAAATAATATATATTTGTTTCAAAATACTTGGGGGAGTGAGGAGTGGGTGGAAATATACACAACACAAGATTAACATGAGTTAGCCAGGCACGGTGGCTCATGCCTGTAATCCCAGCACTTTAGGAGGCGGAGGTGGGTGGATCAGTTGAGGTCAGGAGTTCGAGACCAGCCTAGCCAACACCACGAAAGCCTATCTCTACTAAAAATACAAAAACTAGCTGGGTGTGGTGGTGGGCACCTGTAATCTCAGCTACTCAGGAGGCTGAAGCAGGAGAATTGCTGGAGCCTGGGAAGTGGAGGTTGCAGTGAGCCAAGATAGCCCCACTGCACTACAGCCTGGGTAACAGAGTGGACTCTGTCTCAGAAAAAAAAAAAAAAAAGATTAACATAATTGCTGAAGGTGGGTGATGGATACAGAAAAGTTTACTGTACTACTATTTTTGTTTATGTATTATTGCTTTGTTTTCTATAATATAGTATTTTTTTTTTTTTGAGACAGAGTCTCGCTCTATTGCCAGACTGGAGTGCAGTGGTGCGATCTCAGCTCACTGCAACCTCCACCTCGCAGATTCAAGCAATTCTCCTGCCTCAGCCTCCTGAGTAGCTGGGACTACAGGTGCACGCCACCACGCCTGGCTAACTTTTGTATTTTTAGTAGAGATGGGGTTTTACCATGTTGGTCAGGATGGTCTCAATCTCTTGACCTCGTGATCCACCCACCGTGGCCTCCCAAAGTGCTGGGATTACAGGTGTGAGCCACCATGCCTGGCCAAAACGAACGCTAGTATTTTTAAAATTTAATCTTTTTTTGTTTTGTTTTTGAGACAAAATCTTGCTCTGTCACTCAGGCTTGAGTGCAGTGGCAAGATCTCCGCTCACTGCAGCCATGATCTCTTAGACTCAAGCGATCTTCCTGACTCAGCCTCCTGGGTAGCTGGGACTGCAGGCGTGCATCATTACAAATGGTTAATTTTTTTTGGATTTTTTTTTTTTTTTTAGTAGAGACAAGGTCTTGCTATGTTGCCTAGGCTGGTCTTGAACTCCCAAGCTCCTGCTGCAACCTCCCAACATGTTGGCATTATAGGCGGGAGCTACTTTACCAGGTGTAAGCTTTGAAATAACACATACATTTCTGCATCTACAGTCAGGACAATTTGCTATGATGTGACAAATATCATAACTGAGGCTCAGAAAAAGGGGTTCAAGGAAGCAGGTAAGAATCAAGCTCAGTCAGGACAAACAACAGTCCTCTAAGGTGGGACACAGGAACATAGCTAGCTATTGTAGACAGATGTGGACAAGTGCCACTTAGGGAAATTGGCCATATTTGGAGGTAAATGCTAAAGTAGTATTCAAGTCAGCACAGACACTAATACCCAATAGTGGGGAAAGATGGAGGGCAGAGGACGGTTCCATCCACATAAAATACTTTAGGAGCCTATAAAAGCCAGCTATGGGCTGGGCGCAGTGGCTCACGCCTGTAATCCTAGCACTTTGGGAGGCTGAGGCGGGCGGATCACCTAAGTTTGAGATAAGCCTGGCTAACATGGTAAAACCCCGTTTCTACTCAAAATACAAAAAATTAGCTAGGCGTGGTGGCACACCCCTGTAATGCCAGCTACTCAGGAGGCTGAGGCATAAGAATCACTTGAACCTGGAGGTGGAAGTTGCACTGAGCCAAGATCGCACCACTGCACTCTAGTTTGGACAATAAGAGCGAAACTCCATCTCAAAAACAAAAAAAGGCCAGCTATGGGCAGCAGGTCTTATGTCTCAGATACTCATACAGACCATCTTCCTGCCCATTACTCCTTTCTCTGTTTTCCTCCCTCTGCTAACTCCCTGCTTTTCTTTATGACCTATTAAGATGCTGTTCTCAAGATCACTTACTCTCCTCCCACTCAAGATGAGGAGCCTCGTGATAGTCCTTCCCACTCCTTGCCCAGTCACATTTGGCTTGTAGGCCTAGAAAAGAAAGCTAGATAAAGAATGTGCTGAGTACCAAGAGACTCTAGCCCACTTTGATAACGCTGAGACAGAGTCCTAGCCAGATAAGATATGGGAGGGGAGCACAAAGAGAAGAGTGTGCTAACACTCCCTGTGAAGGGTAGGATATTCTGGGTCATTTAAATAGGAGATTTAGTGTTTAATAAAACAGATTCAGTGTTTGTTGATGTTATTTTACTTAAAAATCTAAAACAGTGGCTAAGAATGCCTGCAGGTGTGAAGCACTGGGCCTTCAAATACTATGTTTTCTGAAATTAATGCGTTGGGGGACCAGAGCCAAATAACTCGCCAGTCTACCACATGCAGATTACATTTCGGAAAGTGGAGAACAGGCTTGAATTTTTATGCTGTGGAGGCTCTCCTAGGAAATCTCGAACAAGTTACTGTTTGGTGAGATAAAGAGCTATGTGACTTCTGAGGCTGACAATCAATCAATCAATCAATCAATCAAAAGAACTTTGAAGTGAGTAATTTCTCCTCAATATCTAAAAAGGAAATCACCAAAAATGAGACTGGGAGACTCTGGATAAGTCAGTAAATTTGGCTGGGCCTTAATTTCCTCATCTTATCAAATCAGTTAATTAGAATAGATGATCTCTAAAGATTGGAGTTCAGCTCCAAACTTCTGATTCCACAAAATACTTTAAAAAGAAACCTTTTTTATTACAGAAAAATTTAAAAAGCCATAAAAAGGAAAGGAACTCTGAGGTACCAATCACCCAACTTCCACATGTGTCTAATCTTTTTTACCCACCCCCTACCTACTCCCTTCTCTTTCCCGCACTCCTCCCCATCCCCCACGGATTATTTTGAAGCAAATCCTAGACATCATATGAAGCACAGTCTTAACAAATTTCTCTTTCATCAAAGGTGGTTTATAAATAACAGATGAGATAAAGTCAGTCTTTCCGGCCGGGAGCAGTGGTTCATGTCTGTAATAGCAGCACTTTGGGAGGTTGAGGCGGGCGGATCATGAGGTCAGGAGATCGAGACCATCCTGGCTAACACGGTGAAACCCCATCTCTACTAAAAATACAAAAAATTAGCTGGGTGTGGTGGCGGGCGCCTGTAGTCTCAGCTACTCGGGAGGCTGAGGCAGGAGAATGGCGTGAACCCAGCAGGTAGAGCTTGCAATGAGCTGAGATCGTGCCACTGCACTCCAGCCTGGGTGACAAAGCAAGACTCCGTCTCAAAAAAAAAAAAAAAAAAAAGTCTTCCCACTTTTCCTAAATATTTTTTCTTATTGCAACTGTAAACATTATCATTATGGTATTAAAATAAGCTTGGATCAGCATTACAGGATGCCAAGTCATATGCTGAATGATCCAATCATATTCACTAAAAGAAGAGCTACCATTATTGAGCACTTGCTACCTTCCAGGTACTATTGTGTCTTGTTAGTTATGTGTTGTCATGTAACAAATCATCCCCAAATTTTGCAGCTGGAAAGAAGAAACATTTATTACCTCACAGTTTCTGTGAGTAAAGAATCCGGGAGTGGCTTAGCAGGGTGATCTGGATCAGGGTCTCTCAGGACGTTGCGATCAAGACGTTGGCTGAGGCCGTAATCATCTCGAGGCTCAGTTTGGGGAGGATCCACTTCTAATTTAAATCACGAGGAAATCTGATGGCATCGTAGCTAGTTTCCCCAAGAGCAAGCAATCCAAGAGGATGAGACAGAGAATTCAAGACTGAAGTCACAGTCTTTTATCATTTCATCCTGTTAAGAGATATCTCATCAGTTTTGAAGTACTCAGTGTGTTAGAAAACAGTCAATAATTTCACCCCACACTCAATAGGAGGGGATTACACAAGGGTATAAATAGCAGGAGGCAGGAATTGTTGTAGACCATACTGAGAGGCTGCCTATCACATGTGCTGATTATTGATTCCTGAACTGATGTGTTTAATATTTATGGCTTATTGTAAATTAATAAATGATCTTCTTTGTGAATATCATTCTACTTACTTTACAGATGAGGAAAAGTTAAGTACCTTACCCAAGGACAGAGTGAAAGAAAGTGAGGGAAGCATAGACTGATTTATGCCAGGCATTCATCAATTATTATTATTATACAGGCACCCACCACCACATTCGGCTAATTTTTGTATTTTTTTTTTTTTTTGAGACGGAGTCTTGCTCTGTCGCCCAGGCTGGAGTGCAGTGGTGCGATCTCGGCTCACCGCAAGCTCCGCCACCCGGGTTCACGCCATTCTCCTGCCTCAGCCTCCCGAGTAGCTGAGACTACAGGCGCCCACCACCACGCCTGGCTAATTTTTTGAATGTTTAGTAGAGACGGGGTTTCACTGTGTTAGCCAGGATGGTCTCGATCTCGTGACTCTGTGATCCGCCCGCCTCGGCCTCCCAAAATGCTGGGATTACAGGCAGGAGCCACCGCGCCCAGTCTAATTTTTGTATTTTTAAGTAGAGGCGGGATTTCACCATATTGGTCAGGCTGGTCTCCAATTCCCGACCTCCAGTGATCCACCCGCCTCAGTCTCCCAAAGTGCTGGGAATACAGGCGTGAACCATGGCGCTCAGCCTTTATATTAAAATTTAAAACAAGACTAGGTACGGTGGCTCACACCTGGAATCCTAGCACTTTGGGTGGCCGGGAAGCAGGCGGATTGCTTGAGCTCAGGAGTTTGAGACCAGCCTGGGCAACGTGGCAAAACCCTGTCTCTACCAAAAAAAAAAAAGGAATACAATAAATTAGCCAGGCGTGGTGGCGCACGCCTGTAGTCCCAGCTACTTGGAAGGCTGAGGCAGGAGAATTGCTTCAGCCTGGGAGGTGGAGTTTGCAGTGAGCCAAAATGACACCATTGCACTCCAGCCTGGGCAACAGAGCAAGACTCTGTCTCAAGAAAAAAAAAAAAAAAAAAAAATATATATATATATATACACACACACACACACACATATACACACACATACATGTATATATATACATATATAAAAAACAAAATTTAAAATGAACTTATTTCAGTTCTGGGCCCCTAAGCATGCAATTGAGAAGGCTGCCACATCAAGAACTTTCAGATCTAAGAACAGTTAACTCAGATGAAAAATTAGTCCCAAAACATTCAAGTTCATTCTATGACATTTTTGGCAGAAAATGGCAGTGAAAAATCTATGGTAAATCTATAGGACGATTAAGATAGTGAGAAAAATTAAAGAAAATCCTAAGCCTTCCATTGCAAAGTGACAAAAATCAAGTCAAGTGGAAGAGAGATACCGGCTTCATCCATTTTTCATTTCCGTGGGTGCCATAAAAAGAGAGAAACAATCAAACAAAAACAAAAAAACTCTGAATCCCTGAGTGTTAATGAAATAAATGTACCCATTAAGAAATCTTGTCTTGGTTGGGCGCAGTGCATGTCTGTAATCCCCAGAGTTTTGGGAGGCTGAGGTGAGAGGACTGCTTGAGCTCAGGTGTTCAAGACTAGCCTGGGCAATATAGTGAGACTTTATATGTTCCCCTACCCCCCAAAAAAATTAGTGGGGTGTGGGTGGGTGGTTGGCACGGACCTACAGTCTCAGCTACTTGGGAGGCTGAGGTGGGAGGACTGCTTGAGCCCTGGAAGTCAAGGCTGCAGTGAACCCTGTTTGTGCCACTGCACTCCAGTCTGGGTGACAGAGGGAGACCCTGGGTCCAAAAAAAGGGGTGGGGGGCTGAAGAAATCTTATCTTTCCTAGTTGAGATGAGGAAAAATTAAAAACTATATATGTAAATAAAAAAAGAAATCTTGTTTAATATTGCTTTAAAACTGTTAATTAATTTAGACTTGGGGAAGGAAGGAAAAGAAGTACACAAACTAAATTTTCTTTTTTTTTTTTTTTTGAGGCAGAGTTTTGCTCTTACTGCCCAACCTGGAGTGCAATGGTGCGATCTCCGCTCACTGCAACCTCCGCCTCCCGGGTTCAAGCCATTCTCCTGCCTTGGCCTCCCGAGTAGCTGGGATTACAGGCATGCACCACCACGCCCAGTGTTTTAGTAGAGACGGGGTTTCTCAATCTTGGTCCGGCTGGTCTCGAACTCTTGACGTCAGGGGATCCGCCCGCCTCAGCCTCCCAAAGTGCTGAGATTACAGGCGTGAGCCACCGCATCCGGCCCACAAGCTGGATTGTCAAGTTTCCAGGGGGCCCAAATTGGCTCCAAACTGTTATTAAATAAGCCTTATTTTTATTGCTGCGCATTTCTTCTGAAATCAATTCTGACTGCTTATGTGGTTAGAAAAATAGTTTCTGCTATTGAATATAAAACTCAAATTATTCATGATATGCAATAAACTTCAGAAATAAATGGACAGCAGTACATTTATGACCTAGGTCTAATTTCACATTTTTATGCAAAAATACAGATGAAATAAGGAGAGTGTAATTCTCAGGAAAATAATCATTATGTATGTGGATACTCACCAGATGTGCAGAAATCTTACCAGTTCTGATTTTGACCTGCCATGGAATCTGAAGTCATTCGCCTTTTTTTCCCCCCCAGAGGTAAAAAAGTTCTACTTCAAACCATTTCCTTCTTCCTAAATAATTACTGATTATTCTTTTTCATTTACTATAACTCAAAAACGTTGTTCAAAAATATCTTGCAAAATTTGCATTATAGCGAAACGACTCTGCAGGCGTCTGTGTCAATAATGAGGCTACTCTTAGGAGGCGTGAGGGTACTGACTATGTAAATAAGCGATTACTCCATTAGGAATTCCCATCCCCAAATCTGGGCCGAAGTAGCGACACCGAATGCGGCCAGGGACTCACATGGTGCGCTGGAGCCAAGGGGTTTCGGGAAGCGCCAGCGCGCCGGTCTCTCTGGGGTCCCAGAGCCCCCTACTCATGCGTGGGAATTCCAGCTCCCACCCAGGGAAGGAATCTTCACGTATCTCCCGGCACTGTCCTCAGTAACCTTCAGCCACTCGACATCACTTTCCCTGTCTTTGAAAACTCGGAGAGAAGAAGCCGCCACCTGCCTGAGGCCAAGGCAATAAACCCATATTACACGCCGAGGCTGAGCCCCGCAGGAAGGGGTGCACAGCGACCTCCAGAGCGCTTTCTCCCCAGCTCTGTTTGTGCAGGCTCGGCCGCGCGAACGCGGAGGAGGGACTCGGAGGCCCACAGGACTCAGACCCCGCGCCCAGCCGGGGTCGCGCAGGGGTCGGGGGAGGGGAGCGGTGGCCGCGGGGCCTCGGACCCCGGGGGCGGGGCCTGAGCGCCGCCCCGCCCCCTCCTCTCCACGCCTTCTCCCCCCCACCGCCCTTTTCCACCCGCCCCCGCAGGAGGAAAGGGAGAGGGAGGAGGAAAGGAAAGTGCTGTTCTGTGGAAAGGGGCGGAAGGCGGGGGAGAAAAAGGGAACAGAAACATGGCGGTCAAGTCTTGGGACGGAGGCGCCGCGGGCAGTTCCTAGGCGACCCGCCGCCCGCACTGTTAGACGGCTCACAGCGCGGAGGCACCCGCGCGGGCCCGCGCTCCGGCCATTGCTCCTGGCTGTAGGCGGCGCCCCTCCGAGACCCTGCCCGCGAGGCGGCGCAGGCGCAGAGCGGACTGAGGTGGCGGCGGCCGCTGGAGCTAGTACCCCGCCCTGCCCTGCCGAGCGCGCCCAGGCCGCGGAACCGGTGCTTTCATGCCCCAGGAAGAAACCGTGTCGCGGTGGCGCTGACAGAGGACCAGGCAGCAGGTGAGGCTGCGGCGCGGGGCCTTTGGCGGAGGAAGCCTGAGCTGTGCCCTCGCGGGGCCTGCGCTCCAAGGCTGGGAGGGCGCCGGACAGGTAGAGCCGAGAAGGCAGAATTCCAAGTGGCCGGCCTGCGGGGGGTCGCCGAGGAGGCGGAGAGTGGCCGCGGCTGGCGTTCCTGGCCTAGTTTCTCCGCGGTTTCCGGGGGCGGGGAGTCCCCGGAGCCTGCGGGATGTGGTCGGGGAAAGGCTGCCCCTGGAGAGCCTCCCCGCGCCGCCGCCCGGGCCCCTGAGAATCGTTTGCTTACAAGCGCGAGGAGTCTGGGCCCGGGGGACCGCCGGGGCGACGGCCGCCTGGGTGGGGGCAGGGGTGCGGAGGGAGCAGGATCGGGGGTTCCCAGAGGGGGTCGAGGCCGAGAGCACGTAGAGCTAGAGCCCGGGGTGGCGGGCGGTCTCGAGGGGGATCGGGGGACTGAGAAATGTCGGGGACAACGGGGAGGAGGGGGACCTGGGCAGGTGTCGCTGGTGAATTGAGGACATTTCCTCCTCTGTCTTAGGCCGATCCTCAGGGCTTCTTTGTCGGGGATGACTTTTTAGGAAGGCAGGGTCCTTTTAACTCTGGAGTGACTAAACACAAAACCAAGGAATGAAGTCCTAGGGCTGACTTCTGTAAAGAGCTGTAACTTTTTCTAAGAATGCTGTCGTTTTTTTGTTTTTTTGTTTTTCCTCCCCTTTTCTGCTTGATAGACCTTTTCCCTCTCGAAGACCGTCTTGTATCTGCACTAAAAAGGAATGACCCAGTTTTTAAATAGTACCCCCTTCTCCCCTTATGTATGTTTGTCACACTGGAAAATTTAGGGTAGTTACCGCAGTTATTGTGCAAATGTGAGGGAAAGTGTCATTTCCAGTAGTGACCCCTCAGCTGTCTCTGTGCCTCCGAGATACTGTCAAGCGTTGTAACCTGAGAAATTCACCCACTGAGCCTGCTTAATTGTGTGCAAACCCGTGTTGAGGCATTCTTCCCAGGCCCTAATTTACGTAGGAATAGGTTTTCCCTTCCGGTCTGGGTATAATGAGAGGGGAGAACGTTAGTGCTAAGGCACTGAGTTCTGGATAAATACTTGATTTGATGTGATCGTGTGTATTACTCTATCAGAAATGCAGAGCATTGTATGATTTTTCTGTGTACACGCGATAAGAGCAATATTAGTTGCAAAAGGAAATTTTCATCTCTGAACATTAAAGGTATCCTTTATCCTTATTCTTGGATATAACACGAAAAAAAGAAACTATATTTTGTCCTGTCCTTTGTATTACTGTTAAAGAGTTGGTATCTGCCTTCTTGCTATGAGACTGGAAAGTCGGCAGTGAACTTAGATTTGTATTCATGAACATGATCTGCCTCTCTTATAGGCTTGCTGTGACTTTTTTTTTTCCTCCAGTAATGGCAAAGGGTTTTCTGCCGCTCAATCCACACTTTCCTCCGTTTTATTATCTCCATTGACCATTTTGCAAAATAGTTTATTGAGATTAGGGGTCTGATCTTTCGTATGACCTGTTTTAGTGAATTGATCATATGCGACTTGACTTTGGCCAGTAGTACCTCGTTCAGGGTACAGTACTACTATTTAGACTTACTGATTTGGATAATAGGAAAGCTATAATGTTAGAAATGTTGTCCTTGTATATTGGAGAAATTTTGAAGTTGCATATTGGAGTAATTTACTCCTGTATGCTTCGTAAATGAGTGCATTCTATTGTCGAGAGTAAATACAGTATTTTGTAGTGTAAACTTAAGCTTTTAGCTGAGGAAATTGGCAACATAGTTGGAGTGTGGAGACTATTCTTAAAACGCAGATGTTTTAAATTACAAGGAACTGTAGTGATGTGTAGGCTGTAACAGTTCCTGGTGCCAAATTTGGGAGATATTTGGTTGAGGTGCTTTCTATAAAGAAACATACTAAGTATCTGCAATAAAAGCGAATTTGTAGCTATACACAAAGGATTTTACATTATAAATAATAACTCAATAAGGCACCTTTCTTTGCTCTTTGTGTATCTGCCAGTTAAGACCAAAACATCTCATATTTTCATTGCAGTTTCCTGCCAAAACAAATACTGATTTTGCATGGGCTTTGCTGCTCAGTTTGAAAGCTAGGGGAATCTCTCAGAGCCTATTCTGGTTCTGGAGGCTTCCTGGCTAAAAAAAAGGAAAAAAAATGAAAGCTAGGTTTCAGTCATATGCTTGCACCTTAAGTACAGGTTATAAAATAAAAAAGAAAGTTGCTGAGTCAGTGGCAGGTTGTTTCATTTGTTCTTTTGATTTGCAAAACGAATTTCTGTCGTAATTTGAATTTCCAATATAATATGTTTGTTGAATAGCAAGGGCAAATAAGTTTTCATAATAACTGATTTAAAATGTTAATTTTGTTTATACTGGTGCCACAGGTTGTCAGTTTGACAGACGTAGTAAAGGGATGCCTTGTTGGAATGGGAAATTCCTTTTTAACAGCTAAAATTTGGGGAAAGGATTTTGCATAGTACAGCTGGTGTAAAACAATAGGTCTTTAGCATCAGATTGTAGGATATTCCAAAATTAGGCAGTTTTATTATTTGAAATTTAAAACTTAGTATTTTGCAGGAAGAAGTTTAAAGCTTTAAAACATTTTCTACCTATATAAGTATGTGGATGTAATAGAGCTTAATACGGTATTTGAAACTGTTTTTTTTTTTTTTTTTTTTTTTTGCGATGTCTCGCTTCCTCACCCAAGCTGGGGTGCAGTGGTGCGATCTCGGCTCATTGCAACCTCTGCCTCCCAGATTCAAGTGATTCTCCTGCCTCAGCCTCCCGAATAGCTGGGATTACAGGCGCCCGCCACCACGGCTGGCTAGTTTTTGAAATTTTAGTAGAGAAGGGGTTTCACTATGTTGGCCAGGCTGGTCTCGAACGCCTGATGTCAGGTGATCCACCCACCTAGGCCTCCGAAAGTGCTGGGATTATAGGCGTGAGCCACCATGCCCAGCCTTTGAAAACTTTTTATTGGAAAAAATGTAACATGATTAAAAGAAATTCAAAAGAAAAAATTTAAATTACTGTCACCTAACACTTATATTTTTCTGTACTCTAGTCCTGTTATTCTTCTATAATATAGTAGTAATGTAATATTCTAATCCTACCTGTGCTTGTGTATAATTCTGTGATTAATGTTGATATAATTGTCTTTAAATTTAACATGCTTTCCCTGTTGCTGTATATTACTGTTATTTTATGGCTTTTAATAGTCCAAAGTTTTATTTACTGCCTTAGTTTATTTAACCATTTCCATATCTTAACATTTTAGTAATTCCACTTTTTTACTCGGATTATTATTACTATTATTATTTTTTTGAGATGGAGTCTCGCTCTGTCACCCAAGCTGGAGTGCAGTGGCGCTATCTTGGCTCACTGCAACCTCCACCTCCCAGGTTCAAGCGATTCTGCTGTCTTGCCCTCCTGAGTAGCTGGGACTACAGGCACGTGCTACCATGCCTGGCTAATTTTTTTTTATTTTTAGTAGAGACGGGGTTTCACCGTGTTAGCCATGGTGGTCTCGATCTCCTGACCTCGTGATCCACCCGCCTCAGCCTCCCAAAGTGCTGGGATTACAGGCATGAACCACCACACCCGGCTGTTTTTTTTTGACAGGGTCTCACTTTGTCACCCGGGCTAGAGTGCAGTGCATCTCAGCTCACAGCAGCCTCTACCTCCTGGGTTCAAGTGATCCTCCTGCCCTAGCCCCCCTAATAGCTGGGGCTACAGGTGCGCGCGCACGTGCGTGCATCACCACACTTGGCTAACTTTTTGTATTTTTTGTAGAGACAGGGTTTTGCCATATTGCCCAGGGTGTTCTTGAACTCCTAAGCTCAAGCACTTCACTGGCCTCAGCCTCACAAAGTGCTAGGATTACAAGCATGAGCCACTGTGCCTGGCCCATACATTTTCACTCTTAAAATAATGCTATAATGAAATTGTTTTGCTAATATGATGGTCCATAGGTCTATACCAAATTACTTTTTGAAATTTTGGGAAAGTCAACTTTCTTTTCTTTTTTTTCCTTTTTTCTTATGAGGTGGAGTCTTGCTCTTGTCACCCAGGCTGGAGTGCAATGGCATGATCTCGGCTCACTGCAGCCTCCGCCTTCCGGGTCCTGAATCAAGAGATTCTCCTTGCGTCAGGGTCCTGAGTAGCTGGGATTACAGATGCCTGTCACCACACCCAACTAATTTTTGTATTTTTAGTAGAGACGGGATTTTGCCGTGTTGGCCAGGCTGGTCTTGAACTCCTGACCTCAGGTGATCCATCCGCCTCGGCCTCCCAAAGTGCTGGGATTACAGGCGTGAGCCACCACACCTGGCCGAAAGTCACCTTTTTTTGAATTACTTTCTTTGTGGTGGATCATTAGGGCTGCTACAATATAGTATTTAATTGAGAACTGAATTGAAACAAGGCGAAAGACTGTAGATGTGCATGTATGACTTGAATTCGTTGAGAGAAAATCAAAATATAAATTCATAATTCTGTTAATGACTTGCTACTAGTTTGTGTACATTAACTTTTATGATATAAGTAGTGTAATTCCTATACTTCAGTAATATTGTGGGGCCTAAATGTTTTTAAGTGTTCTTTGTTTCAATCAAACCTAATTATCTACAAATCCAGATTTATGGTCTGTTGGTTTACAGAAGAGTCATCTTATATTTTTGTGATATATTAATTTGTTTTTGTAATATTTAAAGGCTGTCCTTGAATCGAGTTTTTTCTTTGATATGTTTTTATTTTTTTTTTTTCATTTTTTTAGCCAGGAGATATTCTTATCTGATAATCTAGTTTTTTACTGTGTATATGTATAGTTCAATTATCTCTTAATTTAGGGATTCTTGGATCCTGAAAGCATAAATGTTATAAATCTTTTTTTAAATTACGGAAAGGAGGATCTATTAAAGAGGTACTTTTCTATCTGCTAGAAATAATAAGACGAATGATATAAAAAGGTGACTAGTAAGGTCTAATAGTTAAACAGTCCTGTAAATAAGCACCCTAACTATAGCACAGCAAATACAGAATAGAGCAAAATATGCTGCAGGAGCAGAGGGAAACACTTGTGTAGTATGGATTAGAGAAGGTTTGCATAGAATAAGACATCTGATTAAAAACTTACAAATGGCTGTAAAAAGGCATAAAGGAATGAAAAAAATGTGATGAAGTTTATTAAAATGCAAGTAATTTAGAGGGAGTGGGTGCTAAGCTGGAGAGTAAAGAGAGGCTATGTCATGAAAGGTCTTACAGTCAAGTGAGAAATTGAGACTCTATATTGTAGAGAACAGGGAAACATTGGAAGATTTAAGCTGTTAAATATTTTGGCTCCGTTATGAAGGAGGGGTTGGGAGAACAGTTTGAGTGAGGCTGCAGGTTCATGATCAGAACATCTTGAAGGCACCTAGACGTGAATTGAGAACAGCGGTGGTAGGGATAGAAAAAAATGGATAGACTTGAGAACTGTTACATAATACAAACATTTCCTATGGCCCACAGGCCATGTCACTTTAGCC